TATCCACACTGAGAGCTTGGACTGAGATTCTATTGAGAAGTTGATGAAGCAGAGACCACACTCTGATGGGACTCTGGTTTTCTTTAGGAGGATATAGAGCCCCATGCATTGGAATGCAAGTGCTGCAAGACTCTCGGCTTCAGTAACCCAGTGGTTTCCAGGATCTCCACATAAGAGCAAAACACAAGGAAATTCAGAACATGCAACTGTGATACAATTTGCTCAGTTTCTGAAGAACCAAATTCTATGTCTCTAGATGCCTCCCTCTGGCATTTCCAATGAACATTTTGGGGTGAAAAATGACAATCTCTGAGACCCAAGAGAACAGGATAAAGATCACAAGAGCAATAAAGAAACTATCATTTATAAACTTGCTGTTGCTCCCTTCTTTTAAAGGTACAAGAGCACCTGCGGCTGTTAAATACTGAGGAGGAGGAAAGGCTGAACATCCACCTGGAGCCCTCAAACAGGACTTCACAGAGCAACGAGATTTTTAAAAAGCTAGTGAAAGATTGAAGGACACCAAAACCAGAGTAGCAGATGACCCCACAACTTCATAATATATAAAAGTATATAACACTGACTTCCAAGGCCTGAAGAAAGAACCAATGCTAATTCATACGCATGATATTTGTATTTAATTCAATGAACTAATTTGTGACTGAGGCCCCCTGCACTCAGATACAATAGAAAACCAAGGTCCTGACCCACTGCAGTCTTGAAAGACAAGACGACTCTCAAGAGCAGATACCAATCTCTATTCAGATTGACTGTGTCCTGCCTATTTCCCTTAGCTTCAATTTTTCTGTGCAGGAGTATGGCAGTTCACTGAGCCCTGCACAGTACAGGGAACTGGCTTAGCCCCAAGATGCTGCAGTGACAGAAATAATATATATACACATACATAAAAATATCAAAGGACCTGAAGATCAAAGCATGATGTAAAGTATGAGACCATGAACCCTGCACATTTTCTCCTCTGTCTCATCCTGTTTGGGATCCTGCAATAATATAAGTAGTCACTTCATTTAAATTAATTTATTTTAGAATATCCCTTTTAATCCTGCATGCATTTTTAGCACAAAAAAGGATTTTATCACAACCTCCTTTGTAAAACAATTTTATATGTTCAGTAATGTGGCTATTTGAATGATTCCTCATTGGAAATCCCACGACTGTGAAACCTTGGCAACACTGTCAGTCAGTGACCTACACAAAGTTCAATAGAAAAATTTTACTGAATACCCTCTGTTTAATGTAAACAAGGCAGGAGGCAAAACAAGGAGCATATGTTTTTATAGAGTTACACTATTTTACAGGGCACAGAAAGCACTGGGGATCATGGCATGAAAACCCTGGATGATATACAGTATCGGACACAGTGTTCCATATATCCCAAAGTCTATTACATAATCCATACATTTTACCTAGCACCCGAATTCTAGCAAGACAAGTAGTGATAATAAAACAGCATCTGTGAAATCCTACTGCAAGTTATGATAAGAAATCACATTTACAAAGTCATTCCATAACTACTCGTGCCCTGTAAAATCGAGTGCAACTTTACACTACTCATAGTGTAAGCAAGCTCGGGACTCTGGTCCTTGTACATATATACACAGGTGATGTACAAGCAGATTCAAGCTGTGTATTAAATCACAGCTTTTATATTGCACAGACATACATAATAAGAACATTACATAGACAGGATCTGGATACTAGGAATATTACAGTCATAAGAAACGGACTATGGACAAATGTGTTCTACCGGAGCTAGCACGTTGCTTGTTACCAATGTTCTCTATCAGACTCTAAATCAAATACATACAATACATGGGAAAAAAGAGGGGTGTATTTACACACATGTGCAGCAGGGTTAAAATGCAGTTTGGATCTGCGTCGTGGAACCAGAAGCTACTCTAGGATTTCCTCCCAAGGATTTCAGTCTAACACAGTGGCCTCGCTCTGCAGAGCAGGGGCACCCGCGCTGCCCGCGGCAGCTGCCGCTCTCAGGTGCCAACGCGGGGGGATAAATAACCACGCACAAACACAGGCACACGGGAGCAAAACGGGCACCTCCGGGACGTGCATAGATTGGAAAGGTGAAAACATGGACCTGAACTAGCTTTTACCTTTTGTTCCAAAGTGCATGAAAAGAAAAATCGCAAGACGTAGTTAGAAGAGTTCCGTATCTTAAGGAACATTAGATCATCTTTACAAAAAGAAAACAAAAATGTCAAAGGTCATTGTCATCATGGGAAATTAAGGATTTGTAGGCAGCACTCACATTAGCAGTTTAGGCAAAAGAAAGTTAAAGGGTTGTTTCACTTGCTATCTGGATGTATCCATATCTTATAAATTTATCAACTGAACAACATTTGGTTTGTAAGACATCACCAATGTTTCTGAAAACCAAACCATTATAACCTGAATTTAAGCATATTTATAATTATATCCCCTTATCTTCTCACGAGCAAGCTTTAAGGGATTGTGCTTGCACCTTAGTAGGCAATTCTGCATTAAAATGCTGCAGACTTTGCAGCAGTCCTTCCAGAACGGCTGATACCACTTGCTACAGTGTAACGAGCTCAGCTATCAATGGCAACAACAATGATACGGGTGATGTTAATAATTACATTTCAGATTGGTCACCTCTTGGATGGCTTTGCAAATTGTTATATTACTTGGAATGCTCTGGCATGGGTTTAGTTTAACATTCCTCTCACTCATTTATGGCAGTATAATCACTTCCAGTTTCCATTGAAATTGGGGGATTAGAAATATTCTAGAACATAGTCTTTTAAAAATAAATAATGAAAATAGGAATTCTAAGGAAAAAGTAATACAGCTCACACAAAACCAACACAGACTCAAATTCAGTAAAGCACCAGCATCCCTGCTCCATAGCTTAGCTTCACTTGTCTAAGACTGGAATTTAGGAAGCTTCTTGATATTGCGTTACATTTAGCTGCTTTGCTGAATTTGAACCTATGTTATTACAAATATATGTACTAAACATAACTCTGCATAGACATTTACATATTCTGAACTATATGTCAGATATGTAATATTAAGCTTTCTTCTCATATGGACTGACTGCAGTACAAATGACTTGAAAGAACAAAAATGAAAACACTGTCGTTTTTATAAATTTTATCCTACTTTGACCAGAAAATATTATATGGCTAAATTCAGGGGAAAAATACGGAGGTGGGGAAGTAAATGATGCTTTTGTTTGCCAGCTAAATCCAACAGGGTAAGCAGAAGCCTCTCAGTACAGGGAACCACTTAATACAGGTTTTACCTGCAAAACCTTTTTCTCAGCACCTCTCAGCAAGCCTTCCTTCCCAACCTAACTTGGGCTGGAGGCTTTTATGGCAGGACCCTCTTCACTGTTCCGATAGGAATAAGTTTGGCCTGTTAACTGTGACACTGCTCTAGTGAACTTGCTAACTTTAAAGGCCTCACAACATCTGGATTCCAGAAATGTAAGAAAAAGGTCTCAAAATCAGGGATTCAGGGCAAAAAATCTGATTCCAGGTACAATCATGTACATCCAGAGGAATTCTAGTGACCGAGTAAATTAGTCCATATTTGCATATGAGTAATTGCAATAGCTGTGCAAACAGGGCATTAGGAAAACATAATAAAAAAGTGAAAGATGCACAATGTAAACACAAAGAATTAAGCTCTACTTCACCTGCTTATAAAATAACGTCCACAGGAGAGTAAAGGGGTACAGTGCAGAGAGCAGGGCAGGTGTCTCACCAGAATGACTCCGTGTGATCTAACGCTTTAAGCAGGAGCCTCCTGACGCTGCTAGTGCAGACGTGGCAGTGAGCAGCAGAGGTACCTGCAGTGCAGGCTGCACCAGTGGACAGGGGCAGCAGCAGAGCAGCTCAGCTCGCAGGGCCTCGCTGGGCAGCAGCGCCCACGCTGGAACCGCTCACGGACACCCACCTCTGCATCACAGCACTGCAAAGGGAAAAAAGGAGCACATTTTGGTCCTAAAGCAACACCTTAACTGAACTGGCGTCAGTTCCTCTTTTTTGGGCACTACTGCTACGGTTAAATAAGCAATAAAACCATTTCTAAAAATGACAAAACATTTACGCTGAGAATTTTCAAGGCACGAAAGATTCTTAAACCAATTTAGCTATTTAAAAGGAGTTAAAAATACTGTTTCAGTAAACACTACTGATGACCTATAATCAGCTTCCCTGTGAAGATGCCATGAGGCAAGCAACTAAAACTCACAAGCAAAAACCTAAACCAAATCTTGTTACACAGATGACCTGAAGAGAGATCATTTGAAAAGACAGGGACAAACATGCTAGAAACATGTATCCTTCAGACATACTTTTTATGGATGCAACACTGAATCAGGGTTAATTCCATTAGGATTGATTTTATACTGATGTATCTCCTGGAGCAATCACTGGGGAATCAAACTCAAGACGATCTCTCATGAATATATCCACAGTGTATGCAGCAGTGGATCTTTTCAATCTCTCCATTTCTAGTAATATCCATTGCAACTGTGGTTATGATTTCCCTTTATATTCCCAATCAAAAAGCAAGAGTTAAGACATGAAAATGTTACAAATTAACTTGCCAATTTATAAGTAATAAGGTCACAAAAAGCGAATCGGTGCAAGTGAACCTAGGAACATAGGAAAGACCTAACTCCCTAAACATTGCCATTACAACAGAACGAAAACCAAGGTCTGATGTCTGTGGTTCTTCATACAGTTTTTGCAGCTCTTCAAACAATGGCTGGAAATGCTATGTACTGGCTTCTCCTCAAATCCCTTCAGTTGTATCCCAGGTCCATTTGAATCCATCTCTTGCGAGGTGGCAAACACCAGCTGGCAGAAGGAACCTGCCTTCCAGTTCTGCCAGAGCTGACACATCCCCAGGAGATGCCACCTCTTTCCATCTGCGTTTTGTCGCTAGTCTCTGAGGGAGCAGGCCAGGAGGTTTCAGGCGGCCTGGCACGGCTAGGGGGTGGATGAGGCATGGTACTTCACGAAGGCGATGGCCGCCAGCTCCTTGCAGAACTCCTCCAGCACAATCACGCCCTCTAGCAACGTCATGTGGTCAATGCTGAGAAGAGGAAAATAATTCAGCAGAGAAGTGAGACCCGCCACACAAACCACCGCGCAAAACGTTCTGGAGAATACACAATGTCTGTACTCACATGGGCCCTTCAGGCTCCAAGCCCAGCAGGCGTTTTCTGACCAGCAGAAGCTTGGGAGTGAAGTCTGGGATGCGCTGGATTCTGACCATGAGGTCCCCAACAACCTGCAAGGAGCAGGGCCATCAACACCCAAAGGAACAGCCTTGCAGTATGGTTTAAATGAGCACCTTCCACACCTGAGCTACAGACTCACTTCAGAACTGCCACAGACTCATAAAGCAACGTGCAGACTAGTCATCGTGTGGCAGAGAAGAGCAAGAGGTCATGAACACCAAACATGTTAACAGGTGCCAATATGTGGGCACAAAAAGTAAAGCTACAAATTTTAAGCCTTATTTGTTGTTGCTATAAATAGGTATTACTCACTTCAACGATGCCAATGATTAATTTGCCTTAGAAAATGTTAATGAAGGCACACTGGCCAGGAAATTTGTGGGTTTGGAAAGCACAGAGAAAATGAAGATCATAGTTTGAAATGGAGGAGGCTGCTGAGAAAAAGGAGCTAGGCCCTCTGTCTGCATTAACATTAACACCAAGCAGAGTAAAAAGGCGTTGACCTTGGATAAGTGCAGGATTTTGTTACTGAGCAGCATCAGGAGGCCTGTGGCAATGGGCCTCCAGCAGCAAGGAGGGCAGCTGAGCAGCAGATTCCCAGCCAAGGACACGGTGTTTAGGAGCCACACTTGTTTGGGGGAATCGAAAGCCAACTCTTGCCCAGTCAGGTGCAAACCTGTTCTCTGCCTGTACCTATGGCATTAGGTGGCACTGCCTGCAAATGACAACAATGTGACCAAGTTGGAGTAACATCACTGCCAGTGGGGATTTTGCATCCACACAATCAAACTAAGCAAACATTGTAGGGGAGATAACTCTGAAGGTAGGCACAAAGGAAACAAACACTGGAAAAAATATTTTCCAGAGTTTTTTGTTAGAAGCGCCTTAGTTCTTTTTTTCAAAACAGGAATATGAGGACCTATTTTCAGTAACCAGTCCTTTGCTAACTTCATTACATAGCAATATTCCTTACTAAACTTCTCATTGCCGTATAGCTTATGTAAACACTAGCTGCATGTTTACTCACCCTGACAATAACAGAGAAGAGAGACCTACAGCCAGAGGCGAGGTTTATATAAGGGTCCAGAAGGTATTCGTGTATATGAGGATGAGGGAACAAGGAGAGTTTGGACAACACTGATGTAACTTGTAAATTCACATCATAGGGCTGGAAAAAAAAAACAAACAAACAGCAAAACAGTAAAACACAGAGCACAGTTCAGGTATTTTCTTGCTGGCATGTGTATACTTGATTAGAACTTTGCATACTAGGTTATGATTAGATAAAACTTAAATACTAGGTTAAAAGGCAGGCCAAAAAACCCATGCTTTCTGTAAGAATGAAGAGAATGACAGAGAAGCTAGACAGTAAATATTACCTGTGTAATTGCTACAGAGTCCCACAAGCAGGACTACTGCATAGCTGCCTTTTAAGCAAAGCTTTTTCAAACTTGTTAGCTTGTTGGCTAAGTCTTTTTGCAATAAAACAATCATTCAGCTCAGTAGCTAAACAAACAACATAGCATCAACATAGATAAAACAACTGTTTGCTTCTCCTGGATAATTCCAAACTATCTGAACTTAGGAAATTGAGACAGGAATCCATGATTGCAGCTAACATGGTATATGTCCTATTTTCAGTTTGCTTGGAAAGAGTCATTGCAGAAGGCCCAGTCACCTTGTGGCAGCCTGCAGGAACTGCTATGGGAGACAGACAGTCCTGGGAAATGTTATAGTGATACAATAATCTGTTTTCAGCTCACAAGGTAAACTGTTTTCTGAACAAGATCTCAGATTGAGTTTTCTTAAAGTGTTGCAGAAAGGAGCTGTAAAATATTTTCTTTACTGAAAAAATAGCATGTCTTTTAAGCATAAATGCTGGAAAACAAAAACAGAACCAGTGAAGCTAACACCTAAAATATTATTTAACCCTCCTAAAGATACTACTGTTGTTCAATATTTTTAGTAAATTAAGAATACTTAGCTTCCTGCAATCTACAGAGGCACACTTTTACCCATTTTATTTATTTATTTTTACCTGATCAAGAATCCTGCCCATTCTTTCAAAAAGGACTTTCAAGAAGTGCCCTTCAAAAAATGATGCTTCTAAATTGCACTTTTCCAAAGATCTTGGAGATCCAGGCCACTCCCATCGTAAACAAATGGCACAATAATCCCGGAACTAGAAAAAAGTAGGTAGGAAAACATATTCAAACATTTAATGCAAAACATATTGGGGACAGAAAAAAAGACACCAATTTACATGGATATCATGTAATTTCCTTTTAATTACCTCCATAAGACTATAAACTGTAGCTATCTGAACAGTCTGAGCTCAAAAACAGTCATGTTAAAATAAACATCAGTCTATGCAGGCACTTCATTTCCTTCCTGACACTTACACTCTTAGGGGGATTTCAAAAACACAGGGAGTGGACAACAGAGCTCCCAAAAATCAATCAGGACCCAGACACAAAGCCACCATTACACACATCCTCATCAGGATTTTTCCAAACCAGGGACTGCATTCATATATGGTGTAGTTGTAAATAAGTTAACATTTTTAATCCTAGAACATGCAGCTTATCTGCTCAACCCAATTCCTCCTGAATTCCCAGGACAGGGAGGCCCACATATGTGCAGATGGTACAAGTTTCCTTCGGGCCTCCTTTCCCCTCCTCTCCATAAAACACTGTTTTTCTCAAAAACCTGTCAGCTTCTGCCTCTGATTTGCTGTGGGCTGCCTGATGTCTCACTTTCAAGGAATTTACCCCTTCAAAGGAGCACAGGTTACAAGGAGTGAAAATATGGCCTGCAGGAATAAACTATAACAAAAGACAGTGAGACAGGCTCAGATATTCTTCCCCACATGCAGCTTCCTACCTGTTCAGGCTTTCAGGAATATGGAAGCAGAACAGCTACTTCAATGCAACATCAGCAATAGGCAGGGCAATTCTTAGGGAGGAATATTTTAAGGGTAGCCATATCATTGTCAGAAAATGGTAGAAACCAGTTCTGTTCACCAATAACTCCCAGAATATTCTTCTCATTAAGGCATAAGAGAAATATCAAGATGATATGAGCTTTCTGGTATCCTTGAATAGAACATTGGGGAATTTCACAGGAATGTCTGCTCCCTTATTCTCTGCTTTCTAATCCCTTCCTTTGCAGGGAAGACTACAGGTAAAACAAGGTAACAATTGCAGAAATGGAAGATTTCCATTTCAAACAGCTCACATCACAACTCAGATTATGGACTTTTTCAAGTGCCTACTAAATACAGTTCTCTTATCCTTGTGTTTTATGTTTTTTTTTCCCTCTTATAGGAGATTCACAGGGCCTCATTAGGAAAGCTGCAAATAAACAGTGATTGTCCTCTGACCAAGGAGACTCTAGATTACACTTGCAAAAACAAAACCTGTATTTATTTCAAAAGAGTAAACCATCAAGTTTTCCCAGCAGAATTTTCAACTTCAAACCTGAATGCCTTAGGCTGCATATTTCCTATGATGAGCCTTTATTTTTAAAGTCCCAGATTGCATAACTCCTATGCAGCATTTTAATTTCCCTTTAGTCCTTTCAAACAGCTTGGCAGGCAATTCTCCAAGAGAATGCAGATAAATGAAAAAGCAAATTAAGAACCTATGTGCAGTTCAAATTTTCTCTCAGTGTGTTTGTTATGTGAATGTTAATGCATTTAATGCCATCTATTATTCCTGCAGAAGGTGGATTCACCCTCAAATTCTCCAAAGGCAAGATTCTGCAAGAAAATAAAAAATGGATTTCTTGTCTTCCATTTCTAAAACTACACGTAGCAGGACTATTTATAGAACCACTTGTACGTTCTCATAAGCATTTCCAGTTCTCAAGGACTGATTAAAAAAGATTTCCGTGACTTACTTGTCTGTGGGCATCTCTGAGGTAAGTATCATAACCCGTACCCTCCACGTGGTACGATGACTTAGCTTCATCAGGTACAAGACAGAGAAAACTAAGAAAAGACATGAGTAAATTAACATTTAACTACAATCCACAGAGCAGCAGGGCAATATAATAGTGGACACAGCACTAAATCAGATGCCAAATTAATCCAAGCATTTTACTGTAACTTCACGTGAAGAACAGAGAATACAAAATCTACTTACGCAAGTCTGTTCTAACTACTGTTTGCAATAACAACATATATACTTCAGAATTTGTATATCTGGCACTAGAGGTAAAAACATCAGTGGGACGCTAGCAGTTTCTGAAAAGGCGCAGCCTACTGTTTGCAATAACAACATATATACTTCAGAATTTGTATATCTGGCACTAGAGGTTAAAAACATCAGTGGGACGCTAGCAGTTTCTGAAAAGGAGCAGACAAAATGGAGATGAAAAGGAATAGTCATGACCAGTACAGATATTTACTAAAGGTCAGACTCCATCTTACCAGACCAGATGGAAAGTTCACTGGCAAGTAAATGAGCCAAAGGAGAAGGAGGATTATACTTAAAATCCCTCCTAACCTATTGCCTTATTTACTACAGGTTTGTTTGCCATGTGGCAGTGAACACACAGGAACACACAGGAGTATTTGTCCCGGTTAGAGATAGTGCCTTTATCAGATATGTACTTAAATACTGTATATTCTTATTACTGCACTGATATTTGGCCTAAGTATCACCTGGCAATTCTAAATTTTATTAGAGAAGAACTTCCTCTAAAAATAAAGTCAAAATTCTGGACAGCAAAAGGCCATTCAAAGTTGAGCTTTCTCCACACATCAGGAACTGCTGAGGCTCCTGCAAGGTTTTATACAGAGACTGAGAACTACAGAGCAGTTGAGTTTTCTTAGGAAGTTCATATTATCTGATAAAATAAATTTGCAATACACTGCAAAACCTGAAAACATTTGCACTCCCTGACAGAGGGATGAACTTGGGAGACTGCTCTTTTTGTCTTTTCTCCAAATCATGTCCACCATAAACTATATAGCTATGGCAAAAAAAAAAAAAAAAAGTGAGGGCAAGAAACAACTACTCAGTTCTTTGCTGACAGTCCTGGGGCTGTTTGCTCCTTCTAGCTAACTCTGATTATTTCTGGTTAAGTAGGTAGGTCAGCAAAGACAGACCAGGGCTGCTCTGCTAGCTTGTATTAACAGAGCAAAGAGCATCTGTCCTCGCATTAGTAGCTAAGAGAATTACCATCACTAAGTTGCTTAGAGCAGAGAGTGTCCTCTTTGTGGTATGCACTTTGCAGTATGGCTTACATCTTACCCACACAGATGTATGGTATAGGTGATCGTGCTTTTGGGAACAGAAGGTTCTCTCTAGCTTGTCTAGCACCTGTTTAAGGAACCTTAGGAAGCAAGTAACATTTTCCCCTAAAAAAAACACTATGGCAACACTCCCCAGACCCCTCCAGGAAGGTCAAGTCCCAAACAAGACTAGTTTAAACTCAGCAAACATTTTGAGAATAAACTGTTTTATACTCAATTAGGCTTTCATCCATAAGTATGAGTGAGAGATTGAAATATTATTGGTAAAGTCGCCCTATTTTTTCCGTTTTATGTTGAATTCTTCTTACTTTTTGTAAGCTCTAATCCTTTAGGAGTAGCTTTCTGGTAAAATGCCACAATTTTCTCCTGGGAAGTCATTTTGCCAGCTGGCAGAGCACAACAGACCTACACCCATTACAGAGTTCATTTAGTTCATGTAGTGTGTGCAGAGACTCACACATTCAGAGACTTCTTAAAGCACTTGTTTGAACTCACCTATTTACAATTTTATGTACTTCAGTTTTCCCATCATTCTTTGGATGTTCTGGACTGACAGGCGGAGAAGCACTGAGCCACTCCTGAGCTGACAACATGTTGTCTGGAGACAGATCAGTAAATAATGGATCTTCCTCTAGGTCTCTGTGAGATTATAACAGGCAGAATGATATGGAAGATAGGAAACTTTCTGGACCAAAGAAACATACATTCTGTTTTTTCTTCTCTGGAAGATGGCATGTCTTTCAGAACATTCTAATATGTACATCTTCTTACTAATTAATACGCACAAATACTAACCTTTACAAATAGTTTTCAAACTTTGTTTTATTTTTGAAGAAACTTCATAACCCGTTGATCTGAACGGCAGAGCTGGACATTTCCGATTGGTTCAAAATCATTGTGTTAAATCACTTAAGTGATTTATCCAAATTTTCCACACAAGAGAGACTTCTACTCAAGGAAATCATTAGATTTCAAATGGCTGCGAAATATCTAAATTAAGAAGCCTAAAACAGCTGGTGTAGCTAGTCCTTACAGCTCCTTTCAGCAAAAAAATATCAAGTGTTTCATCCAAAAACATGACTCAAGAACATTAATGTGAGACACTCAAATGACTGATTTCTCACTGAAATCAATACACATGCACTCAAGTTAGATAGATGCGTAAGTAAATTATTAATTCAAGAGCTTCTATTGTTTAGAAAAGAGGTTTTTGTTAATTTTAGCTCTTGTGACTCTTCTACCAGTTTCCTTAAACTGCTGATGGAAAAGTTTGCACATCACGTCAGATGCTCTTTGTTTCTAGACTAACAAACAAAACACTCAGTGCCATGCAGTGCTCACTTTTCTATCAATTAATGAAAGAGGAGACTCATTTAAAAAATAAGAATCCAAGTTAGCTGTTGTGAAAACTTTTCTTAAAAAAGAAAGACACTCACACTGCTCCTGCAATCTGTCCATTTTCTATAACATCTTTATCTTCTTGACAGGGAGGCTTGTATTCCATATAGTTTCTTTCTTCTAAATTTCTCAGAACCAAGTTATAAAGAATGTGCTCATGGGGTTTTTGCAAAAGGTGCTCAAACATTCGCAAAGTCATTATACTGATCTGCAACGTAAAAAGTAAAAAAAAAGAAAAAAAAAATAGAGAGTTCATGCAGAGTTGCCTTATGGTATTTGTGTTTGTACCTCATAGAACATTGCTATTACTTATTAACATCATAATAGAAGCCAAAATTCCCAGGTAGAACTAGAAAATTACTATGCTGAGTGCGGTATATAAACATTACTCCACACGCACTTGAAAACTATTATGTGAATGTTTTCTTTTCCTATAATATCATACAGGACAGTTCTATAATGGAAAAGAACTTCATAAAACCTGCCAAAATAACAAAGAATAACAAAAGAATTTACAACTTAGCCTACCATATCACAATCACATGCACAGTGACAACCAACTTCCATTGTGGAAGCCAGGACTTAAAGATTGTAATAAATATCCAGAATAAAAAAAATTATACTGGGTTATCATGGCTAGAACTAGATGCTAGTGTTTTTATATGGAGATACTACGTGGGCTTTTTAAAAGTGGGCTTTAAGCAATATGGAGCCATTTTACAGAGAATGAATTCTCAGCTTGGCAAAGATAAGTTAATTTATACAGTTATCCCATTCTGAAAGGCTGAGCAGACTGAAGAAAACAGGCATGCCAAGGTATGCCAAGGCACGGATCTGTATTTCAGGCTGGTCTGTGGATTTTGAGACAGGAGAGAGGGGCAGCTATTCCACAGAAGAACTGGTTACATAAGCAGGTCCCAAGCAGGGATTTCACTGAGTTCAACTATATTAACAAGGTGTTACATTAAGTTACAGCCAAAGTTACATTATCTTTTAATTGGCACTTTGTATATTCTCTAGTCAAATCCACTTTATGTAATAAAAAATGTTTATCTACCCCTTAAGTTGTAATATGATAAAATTGACACAAGAAAAATACCAGTGATGCAACATATAACATACTGCCAATTGAAACGCAATTACACAAACTGGCCATCTTTTACAGATGGGCAAGCTCAGATAGGCATGCACGGGGCAAGCAAAAAAAAAATAAAAAAACAAAAACAAAAAACAATCACACACACACACACCCCTTCCAAAACCCTCTCCTCAAACAGTTTGATAAATAGCTGGATAAATAGTTTGATAAAACAGCTGAGAAAAAAGTGAGATGATCACAATTGTGTTTTTGTGGGTTTGTTTTGTGCCTGCCCAGCAGACATTCTGCCATTTTCATTTCTCACCTCATCAGAAATATGATCACAGTGCTCAATTAACCTGTGTCGCAACGGATGTCTGTTGATGTCTGTCAAAGTTTCTGGCTCTCTGTGCTCTCCAAGTATAAAATAAACCATTTCCTGCAGCAGGACATCTGAAGTCACTTGACGAACAATGCGATGCAATAGTGCAGTGGATGTGAGGATTCCCATCTCTGAGCTGAATGATAAATTTGACATTAGAGATGTACTGGTTTTCAGGCAGAAAATACCCACTTGATTCAGATTCTGCTGCTGTTTCTTGGGGAAAGATGCTACTCACGTTTGCATCAGCTGCGGTTCCATAACATCAACAAAAAATCGATCCCGCACAGCTTTTGCCATAGCAACAGCAGCAGTCTGAAACAAAAGTACAAAGTGGTTGGTCTCACACTGAAAAAACCTAAGGAATAACCTGAACTATTTACTTTCTGAATAGGTTTGTATAATCTATAAACATTTCAAACCTTTTGTGCTTCTTTGATAAGTTGATCACAGTAGTCAAACCATGAAAGAAATGATATCAGGGCTCTTTTCCCTGGAAAAGCAGATGCATCTTCTTTGTGACTATAGGAATCCAAACTGGAGAACATAAGGAAAAATATTATTCAGCCTATTCAGAATTATCTGAAGAAAATTGAATGTTCTTTTTATTAAACAGCACAATTAATGATCTATCAACAATGCAGTGAACATTAGAATAGCTCTTCTGCACACAGAGGTTTCCAAGGGAATGTTAAAGGATACACAGCATGTCCAGCAGAAGAATTCTGCATGGATATGCTTAAAGTATTTCTGAACTCAGAAGGGAGTACTGATCATCTAGACTGTTATCTCAAGAAACAGACCACAAACTGACTCAGTAACTCCTGTAGCTACGGAAGAATAAAGGGAATTGTTCTTCCTACTCTGTGCCTCAATCAAGACCACACAGCATAGAGCTGAACTAGATTGCACCTTTCAGAAAAACTTGAAAACTCTAAATGATATATTTACCACAGTCTTTGCTAATCTGGCCTAATAATTATTTTTCACACTAATAAGTTGTATCTTTTTGTTTCTAAAAAGACCAGAAACTTATTTCTAAAAGCCACTAGAAATTAAAATACTCTTTGCAAATGTCTGCTTTTGTCTAAATCCTAATAGATCGTGATCAATTCAAAATAATGAAGGCAGAGTGTGGAACAGTATTTGAATATATTTAGAATCTAACACACAAGAAGTTAGGATGATAGGCACATTGTTTCATCCTTTGTGCTGATGAGCTATGCCATATAACTTCCCTGCTCCTTCCCTGTTGCAGCAACAGTCTGCTATCAGATACACCCTCCCTGCCATTCCTTGGAGCTCTGTGGTCACTGTTCACAGAGCAAGGTTTACACACATTTCTGATATTCTTGACACAAATAGGAAAATAATCTGTGTGTGTGATAAGCTGTATCAGCACAAATTGCTGACATAGTTCAATGGAAAACCTTGCATCCTGAGGAATCTCTACAGTGGACTGGTGGGCAAACCTAACAGTGTCAAAAATAATGAATACATTGGATGTCTGAAGCCTTATCTCTCTATTGCAATTAATACCTAAACTCTGCTCTTGAAACTTCAGTGTGGGAATGTAAATATATTTCACATCTTATCTAGCTACCAAAAATGAGTACCAAGGAGAGATGTAAAATTATCTCCAGTATTAAATACACAAGTGGAATTCTTACCCCCAGTTAATTGCCTCCACTGTTTCAATGTCCAACGGATCCAGTGACTGCGGCAGGGCTCTGTAGAGGGTGGCCAGCCTGTCTGTCAGCAGCTCACACAAACTGGTGCTTTGAGTCAGGCACTTGGCTGCTGCTGGCTCCGGCAAACTCACCAGGAGCATGAGGCCTTCGCAGGCCTTCACTGCGATCCGGCCATCCTGGCACCAGGGGGAAAGTCATTGGAAGGTCAATGAAGCCCACTTCACAAGAAGAAGCAATATCTCCCAAATAAAACCTCCTCCCCCAAAGTGAATGAATACTTTTCCTCGCAATATCTCCCAAATAAAACCTCCTCCCTCCTCCTCCCCCAAAGTGAATAAATACTTTTCCTCATTTCCTTTTTCAACCACTAGAAATTATTTATCCTGAAATTGGATGGTATAAAAAAGAACTTCATCTCAATCCATGGCAAACACTAAGAATAACTGCAACCTTAAGGCACATGGCCCTAAAGCTGTAGGTCAGATTAAGACCAAGACATTAGACAAATAATGTCAAATTATCACTTAACAATTACAAGGTACACATGCAATGTGCACATATATGTACTGCCTCTCTCTCCTTCACACAATACCCAGTATGTCACATTAAAGAGACAAAAAACTCACTGGACTTTTAGTGAGATTTAGCAGAGAATTCACTAAATTATAGTCTTGATTTGGACGGGGGCTTGAGGACTCGGTTGGTGAGGTGACATTTGGCTCATCCAGACTGAAGGCCAGCTCGGCTGCCTGCTGCGGGGGGTCATCCTCCTTCTCCGCCTGCTCTGCTCCAGCAGCTCCGGGCGGTTCTTCGGGGGGAAGGGGCTGCCCCGTGTCATCCTGCCCAGGCAGCAGGTCCTCCGCGATCGCTGACGCTTTCAACTTATTCTGAAAAGCATTTGGTTGGAATCAGGCACTTGAAATGAATTCACTCTAAAGCAGAAGCTCCCTGGAAGGAAGTTTCATACAGTGAGGTTTGAAGCAGTTCTCTGCCAGGCTGGACACGGTAACAATGTAGAACATAACAGGCAGCAACAGCAGGTGAGTTGCTGCTTCTCAATGTGTTTACACCCTTCTCGAACCCTAAACCATTTTGGATCAAGGCCAAATCCACCCTCACAAAGAGGTGGCAACCTTTTACCAGTGGCAACCGCCACCAGTGGAGACACCCATTCACTTAATTTGTCCAGTACCTGACATGAATTTTTCCTTTTCCTTATGAGAGCCCCTTCTGACCCTCACACGCATCACAAAACATTGCTTTACTTAAAACCATCTCAAATTCTTTTAATCTCTGAAATGCTATTCCCAGTTGGAATGGTACAGTGAAACTCATGCTTAACTTCTGAAGATTTTATTTTCAAAGGGAAAGGGGAAAAAAGTTGCTTTTATGCCAGTAGGATAACTCTTAAATTGTATTTGCTATAAGGCAAAAAAATCACTTTTAATGGATAGAAGACCACTGTAAGCACTGGGTACTGTAACACATCTTAAGAATCTTCTCACAAGCTGCAAAGCATCTCACCTTAACCTCAAAGAAACCTGTTCATCTTTCTGCAAAATAAATCTGACTCTAGCACATGGCGACATTTAGATTTGTGCTCTGCGAGACCCAGAAGAAACTCACAGCAAGGCAGCAATTCTCTGTTCTTCCAGCACAAGCACAGGTGAATAATGCTGTATTAGAACCATAAATTCCACTTCAGCACAAGACTCATTTTTTCAAGCAAATACAGCAGCGAGTGTAAAACTCCACACCGTTTCCCTCCTCCATGGTGACACCCGAGCTGTTGCGAACACACGGCCCAAGTAGTGGTGATTGCAGAGTGTCACCATCAGGGTTAGCAGTGTTTAGTGCACAAGGACAGCAGGGACCAGCCACGTGGCACCTCGGGGGCAACCTACAGGAGTGCTGCACCCGCTGGGGTAAAGGCGCATGCTGCGTGCTACAAAATAGCTATCAATTCTGCCCACAGGAGAAGAATCGTTCCTTGAACCTACACCTTTCCCTCCTCTGCATCTTACTGACATATGGGAACAGCTGGATCAGAGCTATAACATTTGTGGATGATGCAGAACTACCATGATAGCTGTGGTGCATCTAGGGGTTCTGCTACCTCCCTGCATTTTAACATGGTTCTCATTTATAACAAAGAGCAATTAAATAGGCAAAAAAATACTCAAATACTTGTTTTTCTCAGCTGTTATGACTAGAATTGCATTTTCAATCATGCATTAGAAATTGTTATTGGCACCACTCATGTACCAGGGTGGAGTTACCAGAAATAAAAGGGTTTTTTTCAAAAAAAAATATGATTCTGCAAAACATTTATTTTACATGGCACTACTTCCTCATAGTGGACCTTGCCATAGCTTACACTTTAGTTAAAGCACTGATGAGACCTAACAGTATAAACCCCGCCTTAAAATTGACCATAACTCACTACTACATTGGCAGGTGACACAGAGCAGTCTGCAAACTGAGTAACACATATGCAGAGTTTCATATATATAAGCTTCCTATAGATTAATCATGCAATTCTGCAGCTTAGCTGCTCACCTGCCTTCTGTAAAGGTGCAAGACAGGATCCTGAATGACCTGACAGAAAAGGTTACATAAAATACATATTCAGTGTTTTCAAGGCAAAGCACTCCTTTACATTAATTCATCAGCTGCAAAGGGATATAAATACATCTTTCTACTGTCTAATTTTCAAAATATGTGGCTATTTGAGTGTCAAAATCTGTGGTGGGTCAATCAAGCGATATCACAGCTAATGAAAATATCCACTCAATTCCTGGGGAGAAACATTAAGCTGCTGCTTTGTAGTAATGTAATTAGAAGTGAGCAGTGAAACTATTGCTTATTTGGTAAAATGGGGGTTCTTATAGTCTCTTTAACAGATGGCTGTGTTCAAACTTGTTTGAAGAACAGAACTAAATAAATAGAGAAGCAAGCGTCCCTTTGCATGGAAGGATCAGTTGCAAGAAAAACCTCTCATAAGATGAGCTGAGATGTGGCTAGTTAAAGAGAAAACTCCTTTTTTCCCCCCTTGCTTGTTAACATGTTTAACATAATGACTATGATCATCCGGGATATCTGAAACATTCCCATGTATGTTCCTTCCCTATACAGGAGAACACGGAAAACCCACTTTGAAAGAAGAATAAATTAAAATCCAAAACAAATTACCACATGAAAATCACTGCAAAAGATACTTTGGAAATTAACAGCTGAGTCAGGTCTTAAAAAGAATGCAGTTCTTCCACCTCTTCTTCCTTAAAAAAGTAAAATTCCCACTTATGCCTTATTGGTTAAGCAATACAAGTGATGTAGGGGACAACTTTGGGGTTTGTACTGCTCAATTTTCTAAGTTCATGACACATTTTAGAAACTTAGCAGGAAAAGTTGAAGGAGGAAACAAAGCTCAGAATAGACTTGAATGGACTGTTTTGAAGAGATGTACCTGCACTGCTATTTGTAATAGAGATTTGAGAGAACTGCCATAGAGTTCTGCAAGTTTACCCTTGATCTGCACGTGAACACCAGACACTGCTGCCAGGTCACAACAGCAGAGAGGCTGGCATGAAAACAGCCAGAATGGGGCATCCTAACAAAGGATCGTTCAGCACCCCAAATATGTTCCATGGAAATTACTAGCAGGAGTTGTGAAGACACATGTCTTCGGCTACAACATTTAGAACAATCTCCTGATGATTGGCATCAACGGGCATCCTCTTTGGCTTATCTGAACTTTGTGGGGAGCATTTTGTAAAACTTGAGCTCTCGTTGAATTCTGCAGTCCATGGCTGATTTTTGATATGTAATTTTGCTATTTCAAGATTTTTTTTTTTTTTGGTCAAACTAATGTTACACTTGTTACAAATGCTGTTCTCAGATTGGATTTCAGAGGCATTATTTGGGCACAAGACTCAAGTCTTATTTTCTCTTTTTTAAGCCATATAATTTACATACATTACATTAAAAGTTACTTGAACTTGGACCTCTATTATATTCTGCCTATAATGTATAGCTAGCAGCTTGCTTCTGAGTGTCTCTAATACTTAAACACTAACTGTTTCATCCATATGCCAATCTTCTTGCTTGTACAGATATTACGGATACCATGGAAATCTGAGCAACACTTAAATAAGAATAAACTGGACATGAATTTACAAATACAAGTTTAAATGATGTTCAGAAACTTACAGGAAAATACATCTTTCTTTTCTGTGTAGGAAAAGATTCTTGTTTTGGGAAAGCTGATGAAATACTGCTAGAGTAGGCTATAGCTACAGCTTTTCACCTGAAGACAAAAGAACTTAGTAACTTAAAACATTATGATCTTGGACTTCCTATCTGTGTCACTGTTACTTCCCTTGGCTTAAAATTCTTTTCTGATTTGGAGAGTGCCCCCTAAAGGCTATTAAGGCATTAAGGCTCTCGAGCAGGTAAATTGAGAGGACTGAATGAAAGCCTAGTAAAAAGAGTTACATGTATCAAGTCTCTAGAAGCAAAAGACTTCGTGTTTTGTTCAGGAATAAAATCAAGTGAATTAAAAGTCATCTTTAAAGGACTAACCTGCTACCTCAGGCTCTCTATCAGATTTTGCCTGGGACATAGTTTAGAAATAGACCTGAAAAATGCAGATTTGATCTACTCACCTCAAGGAAGAAGTTGACCAAGTACGGATCCTGTTTCAATTTTGCACATACTATACAGAGAAACTGAATTTCTTCATTTTCTGTGGGTGTTGCCAGAACTTCACCACATAGCCTGATTAATTTCTGTTACATAAGAAAAGCAAACAATTAAGTTTCTTTAACTCAGACAAAAACGGAAAAATTTACAAAGAGATGCCATTAGTCACAACACACAGAGAAACTTGTCAGACAAAGCAACATTTACTTTAAAAATTGAACAGTACCTGCACAGGCCTATGCACGTTTATATGGGGAAGCAGAGGTTGTCGTATTCTTCCTAGAAGTTTTGTATAAAAAGCCAAAACTTGCTGTTTCATTCCTGGAGGACACTGAAACAGATATCAAAAAATATAGCAAAGGGAAGGGAAATGATTATGTAAAATTGTCTAAGATTGAACAGCAATAATTTTAAAACCTCATCTGTTAACATATTGCTCATCTTTTTTTTAAATCCATATTTTCAATTATTACTCTAGCAGACACCTTCAAGTCTTTCCAGGAAATATGTCCTACTATGCAGAAGTTAGGGGAAATTAACTCTGAATTAATTGGCTGTAGACAAACTGCTTTTTATGGTACTGTATCATTTCATACCATATTAACTTTTAGCTAGAGTTCTCACAAAATCTAGCAATTCAGTGTGCAAGTACATACAAATATGCTGATAAACTCATTACTACAAACACCCCAATGTCTACTAAGTATTTTTTTAATTGATAAGCAATTAACCTCAGATAAAGTGTTTTTACTTACACAGATGTTCCAGGACAAAGCAGCTGTCATTTAGCTGAGATTCAGAATAAGCCATAGACATCTGTGGAACATTTATGTCCATGTTCTACTCTCCCATACTAAGCCACGTGAGAACACTTTCTCACCTCCACAGGACCTGATATGTGTGCAAGTGCCACGTGCTCTAGGTGCCCCTGCTTGTACAGAGGGTTGGACTAGATCTCTAGAGGTCCCTTCCAACCTCAACCATGACTCTCCATGTATTAGCCTCGTTTCCGTCTAAATCCTTGCCCAAACCTAACAGTTCTAACATGCGAAATAAATGCCTCCTTCAGAGGTTAATTCCCTGATCTGCTTTGCTGCACAGGCTTACCAATAGATCTACCAACAGGCACCAGGAACAAGAACTGCCTTAACTTGGCTCTCCTGCCAAGGTAACTATCCCTAGAGCTATAGCCTCATTATTGCTTGCCAAGTAATCTGTTAAAAAGACAAAGTTGTACCATGAGGGTGCAACTACAAGAAAGTAATAAATCTACGTCATTGTTGCAAAGGGATATCACTCATTTTGCAACAGATCTTTGCAACATCTTGCAAGCACTGAACCCTATGTTTATTTCAGATGTACCAGCTCACAAGTGGTAAAGTATAAAGGCAGGGTGCACACAAACTGCTTGTACAGGCACATCTGAGTGCAAAACAACTTCTCTCAACTCTTAGAAATCTACTGCTAATTACTCACTTGATATGTCCCAATTTCAGCCCAATTTCTTGATAAGAGTTTGTAGATTTACTGACCCAGCTATACGCATATGTGTATTTACTGAGCTAATTAAGCTAATTTCACATGAACCACAAAGCAGATGAGATCCGGACAAGATCCTGGGCTAGGTTCATATAAAAGACCAAATAAGAAAGCAACCTGAGCATCAGCTGAAATCTATTACTTCTGATATGGTAATCTTACATTTTTTTTTAATTTTTTTCTGAATGTGGTATTTAATATAACTGTTTACTAAGAATCTCCAAACACTTTACAAAGCAAGGAGTAATATTAATATCTTGCAGAGGACAAGAAACTCTTAGAGCAGAAGCTTGAGAACTGGTACTCTGGCGGTGACTATGAAACTATAAGTGGGAAAATGTTTTAATTCTAACCAGCAGCCTCTGGTTGTCTCACTTTGATCACAGCTGTAGTACAAGACAATACGCTGGTAACAACTGACGAGCTATCTGCAAGAGTTCTGTGTCCTACTCTACCATCTCCTGTAGAGTTTCAGTCCCTATTATAATTAGGAGCTCACACCAAAGATAATCTGTTTAATGAGAAGTACATACATCAGCTTTCCCTAGGGTGTAGAGCGTCTCCAAAATCTTGTGATGCAGCAAATATTCCATACACGGCCCTGTTTCACCCGATTCCCTCTCATTTTCTTCTTGAACTAGAATATCCAACATCTGTTCCAGATGAGAAGGAATGTTGGTGTCAGTCACAGGAGCTTTGTCATCTAAATAGAACAAATGCACAATTATGATATCTTACCAATTTTTCTTAAAATCAATTACAAATTTAAGATTTAAAAATATGATTACTCCACATCTGATTATAAGTAATAAAATAGTGATTAGGGTGTTAAACAATTTTTATGTACATACATATCTACATTTATCTCTTTCAAGCCTATATGAACATATACTGGTCCAAATTTTTGAAGGACACTGGTGGTTTTGGATGCTACACTTGAGACCTATTACTTAGACAAAATTGTGGAGTACCTGAAAATTGATTTTTTAAGATGTCCTGAAATGGATTTTTAGAACCATTTCTTGAAATGTAAACTGGAATATACATTAGGCAGCTATTTAACCTCATGATAGTAAAAATATGAAATGCCGAATTACAAGACCTGTATTAACCACATGATCCAAAAGGAAAACTTTTGTAGACAAAAATCAAACTCAGGGAGAGAAAGCTTCCAGTCTTTGGTTGAGTGTCCACCCTGCTTTGCTAATTTCTTCTTTGCCTCTACACATAGTATCTACAAATCCACAAATGGCTGTAATCTATAAATAGCTCCTAAAATCAGATTAATTTGCAATTCATCTATTCCTTTACAAGCCAGATAAATAAATAGCTTTTCTAACAGTAACAAAGTAAACCCAAGCATTACACTTGTTCTTCAGAATATTTAGATTTGGCTTTCATACTTTCTGCATTAAGATAAGGTGCTGTCAAACTTTACGAAGAAAAGAGTAAATACTGAACTCTATACTGAAGCCATGAGACTATTGTGAATTTATGCCACTGGGAGTGGAATCTTGTATTAACTCAAACGTTACCAAGCAGCTGCGGAAGTGTAGAAATTTTGCTTTTTATTTTCATCAGCTAAATTCTAATTGAACAACTATCCCACCAGGAAAATAGTTACCACTTCTAAAATCTAAAAATAATCACCTCCTGCATGAAAGTGGAAACAAGCTCACAAAAGAAAACAGCAGTATCGAGTGTTTTTTAGACCCTGTTACAATTTCCAGATAGCTTACAGTGCTTTGTTGGAGTTTCCTGGGTATAATATCCTGCTCCTACTGTACAGGATGGAAGTTTATTCTGCTTCAAAGGTGGCACTGGCAAATCACCAGCTCTGAAAACTCCGGAGTTTTTTTTTGTTTTTTGCAGGGTGGATGCCATTGGTTATACGGAAGAGGTAACAAAGAAATTGGAAAATAGTGTTTTCCACAAGACCTAGGAAAGCCTGGGTGAGAGATCAGCTTTTATTTTGCACCATGTAATTACGGGTATCAGTTTTCCTCTACCACTCTGCCATTTCTACCTTAGGAAACACCACACAACATTCCCAAAGCTGGCTGTTTAGAACCAGGGGTCAAGTTGCAGCCTGCATGAGTAAATATTGACGTATATCAAGTGTCCCAGACATGAACATAGATTCAACAGCTACTGTAAAAGAAATGCAAAACTAATAAGCTTGAGAAAAGCATGAGAGCCTTCACTTTTAAAACTATTAAATTGTGACCAAAAATTAGAAAGGTAATTGTTGCAAAACTATTTTAAGAAACCACTGTAAAAGTTAAGAACAAGCCATAATTCATCAAAATATCCACTTTTTGAAGAACAGAATAAAGTCTGGACAAGTTTTAATAAAATGCAGCTTAAATCTGCTCACAATTTCACTTTTCAGAGCTAGGGTTTCAAATTACCTTTCACAGAGACAATAAACTACAGAAAAACCATGCACAGTTCAGGTATTTCTGGTCAAATGTATGGCCACAAAATGATTTTATGAAAGCTTTCTTCAAAAGCTTGGAAATAGGAAAAAAAACCTGATGCAAAACAATAAAGTTAACAGCAGGAACTACATTTTTTTAGATGTCTGTTTAGATTTAGGACTAGAGGAAATGGCCGGAAACTGAAACATCAAAAATTCCATAGGAACTTAAGGAAAAATTTCTTAACAGTGAGGGTGACAGAGCACTGGAACAGGCTGCCCAGAGAGGTTGTGGAGTCTCCTTCTCTGGAGATCTTCAAAACCCGCTTGGATGCAGTCCTGTGCCACGTGCTCTAGGTGTCCCTGCGTATGCAGGGGGGTTGGACTAGATGACCTCTAGAGGTCCCTTCCAACCCTAAGCATTCTATGATTCTATGATTAAACAGAATAGATGAAGATCGAAGTTGAGTCCAACCTGAAAGGAGACAGTTCTTCACATTGTGCTCAGGAAACAAGACCTTACTTCCATCATTGTTCCTGCCTATTTTTTAAAGATGCATGGAGTTATACTGTTTTTTTTGATTAAGAACTATTATCATCATTTTGATAGGAGAAATAACTCAAGTAGGACCATGCAGTACTTTCTAGTCTTTCAACACCACCAATACTGGGAATTCCAGCTTTCACAATGAAAAGACAAAATAAAAACGCTTCTCTTACCTGATGTCTCTATGTAGTAGTGGGTGATTGCTTTCCAGTGGTAAACAAAGTCTTCTTGCAATGGGAGGGAAGGCGCAAGCTGTGGAGAAAAAAAAAATAAAGAAAAAAGGAAGGAAATAAAAAAGAGAACTTGTCGGTAATGACAAACATATTTCTTCAGAGAGTAAAGTGAGTTTTATCTTATGCTTCAACCAAAACTGCCAGCAGACCAGTGCTATGGTCTTTACTCTGTGTTCCTACACCTGTAACAAGGGCTCTATGTATTACCCTGGTGAGCGTCACTACCGATCTCTAAGACCAGACAACCTCTTCAAAGCAGTAAGAGCAATCAGTCACACAGGAAAGCTGCACTATACATGAGGGTTTGATTTGTTTAGATTGCAGAGTTTTGTCCTTTAGGAAACAAACCAAGAGCAGCTGCTCCTGATGCCTTCTCCCTCTTGATATCTGCTGTTCTCTGCTCCCTCAAACACCCTGCCTAGCTCCTCGCACGGTTCCTGACAAGATTCCCCCCCGCCCTATTAGCTGCAACTTCAAAAGGAGATCTCCTTTCCCTTTTTTCTGCACAGCAGCACCATCCCCAGCGCTGGACAATTCCCCTTCTTGTAACAAATACATTTCTGAACCAAGAAAGTTTAGAACTTGTGATGGTCAGCTGTGGGTGGGTGGGTGGCTGCCACCCAGCAACAAGTAACAGACTGCAGGAAGGAAACAGCCTCCCAGCCAGACCACCAAAAGCACTTGCTCCTTCCCCTTGGAGCTTAGTACATTGGGGCTCTATGGCCCGTTACACCCCATCTGCATTTTAGGACTCTTACACCGAGACAAAAGCTGACAGGGCCATGACCATTTTACCACTCTGCTCTCTTGAACACCTTAAAAAGAATCTGAAAAGCACTTAGAATAAGAACAGATCTGCTAAAATCAGGAATCCCACAGCGAAAATTCCCACAGTCAAAAACATCCTGGGATCTGCTATTACTGCGGCCTAACATTGCATGTTCGAGAGGGTTTTGAAGCCAGGAGTCCCCAGGCCATTCTTGTAAACTCAGCCCTAAAATAAAAGAACATTCCCTGAGGGCAGGTCAGCAGCAGCAAGAGCAGAGCCCCATGCAGAACCAGGCATGCCCACATTGGAGGAAGAAACACGGAGCCATCCCTGAAAGTGCCGGGCTCCTGCTCTGGTGCATGAGCTCTTGCTGCTACTGACCTTTGCACGCAGGACTTTGAAATGCCTGGCTGAAAAGGAAGC